GTTTTAAATGGAATTAACTTATCATAAAATGGCTATTTTTTCTGATTAGATCTGAAATAGCCATCCAAAGTTTCTGATTCTAAATATACCATTTTGTATCACATTCCATTGTACTACAGACATAGAAGTCTTTCTCAATAACTCATAACTAATTTAAATCTCAGTCATGAACCTCTTTGAATTTTCTAGTCTTTTATTTTCATATGACTTACTATGCATATATACACTATTCAAACCAGTTTGACAACTACTGCCTCTATAATTCTAGTCTTCCATGTAAACAAAAGGCCACAGAAAGACTTGGTTTGTCATTACAAGTTACATGATGTTGACTGAGTCACATCTGCACTAGGCCTTAGTTTCCTCATCTACAAAAATGAGGATAACTACAGTTATCCTTAGCTAGCTCTCAGGGTTGTTGCAAGGGTTAAATAAGATTTTTGAAAATTGTAGAGCATAATACAAATAAAAGATATTATGATAGATACTTTGAACTAAAAAACAGATTATGTATTCAAAGGACTAAAAAATAAACTGTCATATAAAATTATAAACTGAGTTTTAAAAAGTTGGATTTTAGGTGAATTATAATTTAGGTATTTTGGAGAAAGGAAAAGTCTATACGAGAGAAATAAAAGGATTCCAACAACAACAAAAATCTCTAAAATTATATGATTCACAGTTTTAACTTATCCTCACTTTGGAAGAAAAATTAATGATACTTGTGTATCATTTTATTACTTTGGTAAAATGTTAAATCACATTATAATAAGCATCCAAATATACTTAGGAGTTTTAATCCAAATATATTATCTCCTAAATATATTTTATATTTTTAACTGATCCCTAAGTTTTCCTAAGTTATTTGTTAAATCTCATTTTTTTCATATTACATAATAAAAACTGTCCTTTACTGAAGGTCCAAAATTCTCATTTCAACTAGGCCCCCCCAAACTCCCCCAAAAAAACACCACACCACTGAAATGTTATAAATAGCAAAACTAGGTTTCTCCCTTTCTAGCTAATCATTATGTGAAACCAGAATAACTTAAAAGTTTGGAGACAGGGGGCTAAAAAAGGAAAAAAATGGTTTCTCAGAGTTTATAATCTAGACCAGGGTTTGGGCTGTTTTTGTAAATGCAGTGTTGGAACACAGCCACACCCATATTATCTAGGGCTGCGTTTGCTGCAATGGCAGAGATGAGTATTGAAACAGAGATAATAAAGACGTTGGCCTTTACAGAAAATGCTTACTGAACAATGAGCTAGACAATCAATATTAAAAAGAAAACAAATTCCCAATAAGTCAAAATATTTTCATTTACATGATAAGATTAATACTTGCTTCTGTTAGATATGGATGACTTTTATTTTGGTTCAGACTGACCACTTCCTACCACTCCGTTACTAGTAAACTGGTCCAACCCCACTAGATTACCACAGTTGTCTCTCACTGATCTTGTTGTCTCAATCAATCCATTTCAGTCTATCCTCAAAAACAGCAGTCTTACCAATCCTTTAAAAACTTGTCCTGTCATGCCTTTTCTGTTCTCTAAACCTTTCAATGACCTCTCACTGCATTCAGAATAAAAGCCAAAGTCCTTACAAAGGCCTATAAAGCCTTATATAATTTGGGACATATTATTTCTTGCCTCATCTTTTATTACTCTCTTCTCCCCTCATTCTCTCTTCAGCCAAACTAACCTCCTTCCTGTTTCTTGAACAAAAAGCCAGGAATATTCTGTTTTAAGTCTTTTATAATGGCCATTCTCTCTGCCTGGAACATTGTTTTTTCAGTTATCTGCATGACTAACTCAGTCACTTCAAGTGTTTGCTCAAATCTCATCTTCAAATGAGGCCTATCCAGGTTATGCCATCCCATAACTCCCTATTTCTTTACCTTCTAACTATTACATACTTAATTTATGCTATATTATGTTTATTATTTGTGTTCTCTCCCACCCTACTAAATCTAAGCTACAGAGGCTTGGAACACTGTTGTAGTTTGAGGAAAAAAGGAAGAATAAATGATGCTTATGAATAAGGTGGTAGAAAATATATGCTTTTCCTTCAGCTGAGCAGGCAAGAGTAAAGAATAAATTTCCAAGTTTAAAAACAACTTCGAACATTTAAATTATGTGACTTATTTCCATTGAAATAAAAGCTGGCAAAAAAAAACACACCAAAAAACAAAAAACTTTTTCTTTAAAAAAAAAAAAGAGGAAAAAAAGTATTAGCAGGAGAGAAGTATCTAAAACTGCCAAATATATTTTAAAAACAACTATGTGCCACCCCTGAGGCTTACTGTTTAACATATTATCTAAAAATGCCAAATAAATTAAGCTGGGGGGGTGCATCCACACACACAAAAAAACCATTGCTGTGCTGCAGAAGTTCCTGCAGCTTACTGTTTTAACACATCAAAAGAATTTAACAAGACCTGCCCCAGCCAGGTCGCTCAGTTGGTTGGAGCATCTTCTTGTACACCAAAAGGTTGTGGATTCGATTACCTGTCAGGGCACATACCTAAGGTGTAGGTTCCATCCCCATTTGGGACACATATGGGAAGCAACAGATTGATGTTTCTTGCTCTTTCTTCCTCTCTCACAAAAATCAACAAAAACATATCCTCGGGTAAGGATTTAAAAAAAAAAGAATTTAAATGACCAATCAATGTAGCTTCATAAGTGAAATATCCCTAGAGAATTTTATAAATATTTACGCAAACTACTTATACCTATAACTTGCTTTCAAATGACTAGTGAGGTTACAGTTTCCAATTCAAAGCAGTTACAGACTATGAAATAAAGCCAAAGTTAATGTCACATTATGAATGTAGTAAGGCAAGTACAGCAAAGCAGTGTCTTTTGTGCCTAGTCCCATAATTCCAAATGATGGCCACAGCAATCTTTAGCAATGGTTTCTGTCTCTAAGAATGAATAAATGAACAAAACAGTTAATACAGCAAAACCAGTAATAACATCCTTCTGATTCAAAGGTGCAAACTTAAAAAACACATATTTGGTTGCCTTAAAAAACCTGGATCAATGTTAGACCTTGAAGAATTACATATACACAATATAACTGCATTCTGAAAAGCAAAAAGTAAAATAAATCCTTTACTTTGAAATGGTATTGATTGAAAGAATCTTGTTAAGGAACTTCTGTATGACTAAAAGGTGGCATAGCATTGTTATTATGAAGTTATATTTTAAATAATGATTATGCATCAAATAAATAATAATTTCTTGTAACTGTCAAGCCACTGTCAGAGAGAGATCTTTGGCTTACTCTACAACCAAACACTTTTTAAATTAAGCTACCATTTTCTGAGTGTTTACTATATGTCAGATACTGTGCTAAGTGCCTAAATGTATTTACATGTCTTCAATCCTCACAACAACCCTAAAAGATTGACACTACTATTATCTGCATTTTACAGAGATGAAAACTGAGACTTCGGTAAGTTAAATAACTTAAACCAAGAACTCAAATATGCCTATTCCAAAGTCTGCTCTTAACCATTACAAGAACTGCCTCTCTGGATTCTCCTTGAGTCTGCATCACAGTATTAATACAAAAGAGGCTGAATATTACCTTGTTCTACATTGTAAATGCTTAATTAATGTTGGCTAATTACAGGGGAAGTAAAATTTTTCTTAATCCTTCACAGTCTTGTGCACTTTACAGCTGTTCACTATTAGAATAAATAAGTTAAAGTGGAAAGTAAGTTTTAAAATAAAATCTGCAAATGTGGGTGTCCAACATTTCAGAAAGTATTAGTTAAGTGACATAATCCAATGTGTGAAAAGAGCCATACTAATTACACATAAATTCACGCCCAGTTCTATCAATCTGTGTGCAACTTTGGTTTGGTCATTTACTCTCCCTTCATGACTCACCTACAAAATAATAGTGATAGACTAAATAACCTGAGGATAATACATTACGATTCTAATTTTACCAGCTCTTAAAAGACAAATATCTGGGAGGAAGGAAAGGTTCGATTATATCCTGAAATCCTGTTACAAAATACACATTTTGAAGTAGGGACAGATTTACTATGCTAAAATTCCTCTAAATCATTTGAAATCAAGTATTCTCTAAATAAATGTTTTAAGCTATTATTTATTGTCCTGTTTTACATACACACATACATTATTGGTACCTTGCTGACTCCAACGGCTATGCTCTTAACCTCACGTAACTTCACCAGTCTTTCTCAAGTCACCCTAAGTAATGTGTCCTTTGTGCTTTAATATTAAAACTTAAGAATTAGGTATAAAGTGCCTAGCGCAGGGCCTGGCACAGTGCATAAATTTAATAAATGGTAATTTTTATTTTATTATTATTCGTATTATCAATAAAACTTCTTATATAACTCAAAATCCTGTCTGGGTAATTAGACTAGCACAGGAAGTGCTATGATTCATATTCCTTTTAACTGTAAGAGATACTAAACCATCTCAAAACTGGGGATACTTTGGGTTAAGGTAACACTTTGTAGCAGCCAACACTATTTATGCACCCAGTACAATGCCTCACCACATAATTAAAACACAAACAGCAAAATTGCATTCCTGAATTAGCCATTTTGACCTTACTGTGGACTTCCCTCCCTTCAAAATCAGACCAAACGCCAATAACATAAAGCCTTGTTAGGGGCTAAAAATTCAGGCGGCCACAGCACTTCTTGAGAAATTGACAGCCGGGCACAAGGCACACCTTCAGTGTCACCGCAGCCCAACAACCACCCTTTTTCCTCTCCAGCCGAATGGCAGTCCAAGAAGCGGCTGAGGCGCTTCGGTCTCTAATGGACAGCCGTAACCATTCTGCTCCTCAACCTCTCCCTCCAAGGCAGGCAGGGCGTTTCTAGCAAGTCCAGTTTCTGAGGTGGGCATGCGAATTGGGACAGAGTGCGGGGCGCGCGAGAGGCGTCACCGCCAGACGCTCCCAGAGCAGAGGAAGCGGCGCTGGAAGTCAGCGCCCAGCCAGGGTACCTTGCGTCCAGCGGCAGAAGATGGTGTCAGAGAGACCGGGACAGCTCTTGGTGCCCCACACCAGCTCCACCAGCTCTTTAGTCAATTCGGACATGATGGGGTACCGGCGAACGGGTCTTTGCTTTCAGGACTCCTGCCCCGGAACATGGGGAGGGACGGCTCCGGAGACAGGAGTTGCGGGGCGGCAGCGCCAAAGCAGTGGGAAGGTTAGACGCGACGAAGGCGAAAGGAGAGAGCTAGAAACAGGGAGCGCGCCCGTCAAGCCCACTCCTGTGGCAGCTAAGTTTCGCGTACCGGAAGTGCCTGGCCCACCCACTTCCGGCTTCCCTTTACTACCCCCACACCCGTAGGACCGGGGAGTCACCTCCCCGGAAGCGGAAGTGGGGAGTGGAAAGACCTGCGGACCTCTGTGGAAGCCGCAGGTCTTCCTGAGCTCAGTCCCCGCCCGTTGGTGAAAGCTTTCTTATTATTGTTTTTTGTTTTGTTTTTTATCACACACACACAGAAAGAGAAAGAAATGTGATGTGAGAGACAAACGTGGATTGGTTGCGTCCCCCGCACCCGACTGGGGATGGACCCAGCACGTGGGTCGGTGCCCGGACTGGGAGTGGAGCGGAGCCCGCCACCTTTTGGTGCGGGGGCGAGCGCTCCGACCAGCCGGGCCCGCGGCCGGGGCCGAGGGGCAGCTTTGTACTGACAGGTACACTGCATTGGCGGGCGCTGCCGTGTTTCTGAAATCTTGGCACACTTCCTCTGCGCACTGCTGTGGTCTTAGCGGGAGGCTGTGAGGCCCCAGCCCGGGGGTCTAGAGCATGGCCTGTTCCTTAAAATTTGTAATATTAATTATGCTAAAACCATGGTTGAGTCTCAGTGAAGAAACATGTATGTCTGTGTTGAGAGCCCGCCATTAATTTGAAGGATGTTAGCCCCTGTGCCCCGAGAAGTCATATGAAGGTGAACGAACTATTAAAAACATAACCAAACGTGGCATAAAGTGCATTAGAAATGTTTTCAGCAGATGTAACGGAGAATGACAAAGCTATTTGTAGGAAAACAGATTGAAAGCAGCCTGTTTGTAAATGGTAGATCGTTTTCATCTCTAACTTTTGAGACAGTAGGGTGTATGGGAAACGAACTAAAGTCCAGGTTTTAATCACAGTCAAGCATTCAGCTAAATTTAGTGAGTATGAAAACTTATATTTGTGCTGATTAAAAAGAAGAGATTTTAATATTCTCCGACCTCTCAATTTTAAAAAGGGCAAAATCTGTTGAGTTCCTTACAAGTTGCAAATAAAAGGATTTTGCTAATTTATACTTTATTTCTGATTTCAGCAACTTTCACTGTAGTTAAAAAGAACTGTTCAAAGTGCTTGAGTCATAACCATAGCCTTCCTCCTAATTTTTGTCTCCTTTACCCTATTTTTTACAAACCAATCTTACCCATTTTTCAAGACACTATAAATGCCACTTTGTAATAAAGCTTTCTTCAGTTCTCACAATCTAAAGTAAAAACTTTGGCTTCTAAAATTTCATAGTACATACCTTTTCTGTAACTTGCTTATGACAATTGCTGTCATTCTTATATTTGCAAAGAATTATTTACACTGCCTCAAGATATAAATTTATGAAAGCCAAAGACCTGTCTTATTCATAGTACCTAGTATAGAACCTTGAAAATTGCTGGATTTCAGTAACTATTAGTGAGGGAATGAAACGTTTCTTTACTGGAACTTAATAATTCACTATCTTCCAGCAAGTGAGGGATCAGGTATATACTATTGATTAGTCCAGTTAAATATCTAATATTTCTGGTTTTTTCTTTTTTAAATTTATCTTTATTGTTGAAAGTATTACAAATGTCTTCCTTTTTCCCCATTGATCCCCTCCACCCTGCACCCCTTCCCCCAGGCCTGCAACACACTGTTGTCTGTGTCTATGAGTTATGCATATACGCATATAAGTTTTTAGGTTAATCTACACACACACACACACACACACACACACACACACACACACACACACCCCCCTGCAACACACTGTTGTCTGTGTCTATGAGTTATGCATATACGCATATAAGTTTTTAGGTTAATCTACACACACACACACACACACACACACACACACACACACACACACACCCCCCTGCAACACACTGTTGTCTGTGTCTATGAGTTATGCATATACGCATATAAGTTTTTAGGTTAATCTACACACACACACACACACACACACACACACACACACACACACACACCCCCCTGCAACACACTGTTGTCTGTGTCTATGAGTTATGCATATACGCATATAAGTTTTTAGGTTAATCTACACACACACACACACACACACACACACACACACACACACACACACCCCCCTGCAACACACTGTTGTCTGTGTCTATGAGTTATGCATATACGCATATAAGTTTTTAGGTTAATCTACACACACACACACACACACACACACACACACACACACACACACACCCCCCTGCAACACACTGTTGTCTGTGTCTATGAGTTATGCATATACGCATATAAGTTTTTAGGTTAATCTACACACACACACACACACACACACACACACACACACACACACACACACACACACACCCCTGACTTCCCTCTAAGATTTGTCAGTCTCTTCCATGTTTCTATGTCTCTGGATCTATTTTGTTCATCTGTTTATTTTGTTCATTAGATTCTACATATGAGTAAGATCATGTGATACTTGTCTTTCTCTGACTGGCTTATTTTGCTTAGCATAATACTCTCCAGGTCCTACCATGCTGTCTCAAAGGGTAAGGCATCCTTCATTTTTACAGCTGTATAGTATTCCATGGTGTAAATATCCGAGAAGATGCCTGATTTGATTGCAATCCTCTTGAACCTGTAGAGACTTGTTTTGTGTCCTAACCTGGTCTGTCTTTGAGAATGTCCCATGTGCACTTTAGGAGTATGCATATTCTGCAGCTTCGGATGAAATGATCTGTAAAGGTCAATTAAATCCATCTGATCTAGTGTGTCAGAGTCATTGTTTCCTTGTTGATTTTTTGTCTGGAAGATCTATCCATTGAAATCAGTGGGATGTTAAAAGTCCACTAGAATGACTGTATTGGTAGCGCTCTGTCCTTTAAAGTCCTCCAGAAGATTTTTATGGGGGTTTTTCAGCCTGTGTGAGTGTTTTATTCTGAGGTGGGTCTCTTGTAGGCAGCATATATTTGGGTCACATTTTCTTATCTATTAAGCTATCCTATGTCTTTTGATTGGAGCATTTAATCCATTTATATTTAAGGTTATTATTGACAGGTACTTATCTATTGCCATTTTAATTCTTTATGCCTATGTCTCTCTCTCTCTTTCAACTTTTTATTACAGCAGTCCCTTTAACATTTCTTGTAATGTTGGTTTGGTGATGATAAACTCCTTTAACCATTTTGTTGTTGTTTTTCTGGGAAGCTCTTTATTTCACCATCTATTTTGAATGATATCCTTGCTGGATGGAGTAGCCTTGGTTTCAGATCCTTGCTTTTCATTACCTTGAATACTTCATACCATTCCCTCTGGCCTGTAGAGTTTCTGATGAGAAGCTCCTTTGTAGGAAACAGCTTGCTTTTCTCTTGCTGCCTTTAAGATTCTGTCTTTGTCTTGAATTTTTGGCATTTTAATTATGATGTGTATAGGAGTGGGCCTCTTTGGGTTCTTCTTACTTGGGACTCTCTGTGCCTCATGAACTTGTGTGACTTTCCTTGACAAGGTTAGGGAAGTTTCCTGCCATTATTTCTTCAAACAGGTTCTCTAACCCTTGCTTACTTTCAACCTCTTCTGGTACTCTTATAATGGGAATATTTTTACATTTCATGTTGTCCCACAGCTCCCTTAAACTGTCCTCCTGTTTTTTAATTGTTTTTTCTTTTTGGGTTTCTGATTGAGTGCTTTTTTCCTACCCTGTCTTCTAATTCAATGATTTGATCCTCAGCTTCCTCTAATCTGTTTATTCCTTCCAATATGTTTTTTATTTCTGCTATGTCATTCTTAATTTCCATTATAGTTTTCATATCTTTTCTCACGCTGTTGAGCATCCTTATGACAATTATTCTGAACTCCATGCCCGATACATTGCTATCTCCATTGCATTTCTCTCTTCCTCTGGAGACTTCTCTTGTTCTTTCATTTGGGGCTTTTTTTTTTTTCTCCGGTTTTTTGTGGGGTTGTGTTTTTTTAAATATATCTTTATTGATTTCAGAGAGAGGAGAGGGAGGGAGGGAGAGAGAAACGTCAATGGTGAGAGAGTCATTGATCGGTGGCCTCCTGCACGCCCGCAACTGGGGATTGAGCCCACGACCCAGGCATGTGCCCTGACCAGGAATCGCCTGGATCCTAGGTCGACACTCAACCGCTGAGCCACACCTGGACGGGCTGTGGGGGTTTTTTTGTCTCCCCATTTTGGCTGCCTGTTTGTATTTGTTTCTATGTATTAGGTAGATCTGCTAGGACTCCCAGTCTTTTAGGATGGTTTCTAGTGCAGGCCAATGTCAGACTCTGTTTATGACTGGCCTTGAGAACCTTGTTAGAAGCTTTCCACAGTCCACAGTTTGTGGTTCCCTCTGCTGGAGCTGAGTGTGTTTGAAAAAAAAGAAGATGTGCACCAAAGTGTGCTTTTTCAAGCCCTGGGACCAGAAGCAGATCAGGCAAAGACTCAAAGCACCCAGAGGCTGATTCTTATTCAATATTTCAATGAGCCTCAGGCTGTAGAAACTCCACAGGGTGGGGCAAGAGTTTTTCCAACAGGGTGGGACCATTGCTTCCCCCCAGGGAAANGCAAGGCATAAACTCCATAGGGTGGGGCAAGAGGTTTTCTAATAGGGTGGGGCTATTGCTTCCTCCCCAGGGAAACAGCTGCCTAGATGGTAAAGGTCTGCATGAGAAATATGTCCTCTGCCATATGGGGGAATGACTCAGCACAGGAATCCAGATGGATGTCCTCTCAGCTTTATCCCCAGAGTCAGCACCCCTGGATTTTTCTCACTCAACTCTAGTCNAGGAATCCAGATGGATGTCCTCTCAGCTTTATCCCCAGAGTCAGCACCCCTGAATTTTTCTCACTCAACTCTAGTCCACTCTGCCCTCCATCTATCAGAGCCCAAGGTGAGTGGCTGCACACAAAATTTTGTGTGTTGGGCCCGGCTGGGCGTGGCTCATCGGTTAAGCCTCGACCTAGGATCCAGGCGATCAGGGTTCGATTCCTGGTCAGGGCACATGCC